CAAAGCACAAGCTCTAATAAACGTTTTCCTTTCCAAGAAAATGTGACTAAGTCAGGGACTTGCTCCGAGCCAAACAAATGTGAAGCATTAAAGGAGATTCCACCAAAAATCTGGCCCATGCTGAAGGTTTCACAAAACACAGGCCCTTAGGTCTTCAAACTTTCCAAAACTGAAGTGATCAGAACATTTGTTCTCAGGGGAAAACTTGGCCCACGGCTATCCTCTGTTATCAAATTCCCACAGACCACTTCTCATTAAGATGTGAAGAATAAACTGAAAGTGACAAGGACATGGGGTCTCTTTTTCCTGATGCGGAAGCCTTATGTCTTGTTACACAGTGTTGCTGACATGGGAAAGGAAACTGATCAAAGCTATAAAGACAATTTTCCAGAGAGGAAAAGACTCTGGGCTGGACAAACTACCTGTTCCTCTTAACTCACTCTTTCAGAAGGGCAGCTAGTGTCACCAGACCCACACGGAGAAAAAGGAAACAACCGGGAAACCAGCAATGCCAGGAACATCTTGAGAAAAAGATGGGCTCTGTTTCTCACTACCCAACACCTCACTATCAGCCTGCATTCTGCCTTACCTCATCCGGCCCTAACCAAGGCCTACTGACCAATACAAATAAATCAACTATTCACTCAAGAACGTCATGTTAACACACACAGTACAGTGCATGTTTACAGAGGCAAAAAAAAAAAAAAAAAAAAAGTGGGGGGGTGGAAAATGGGGGCAGGTAATGTGGCATTGTGGGATAAACTGGCACTTGCACTGCCAGCATCCTAAGCCGGGTGCCCATTCAAGTCCCAGCTGCTCTACTTGTCATTCAACCCCCTACTAAAGCACCTGGAAAAGCAGATGATGGAGCAAGAGTTTGGGTCCCCAGCATGGAATTCCTGGCTCCTGATTAAACTAAACCCTGCATTTGGTTATTATAGGCATTTGGGTAGTGAACCCATGGGTAAAGGTCTCACTCACTCTACCTTTCAAATCAAAATAGTCTTTAAAATAAAAGGCAGCTGGGGGGAATAAATGGTGACATCTTAAAAGTAACTTAAATATTGAAATTAGTTATTCACTTTTCTTGGAATCCATAAGCTGCTCAGCAACATCATTTTTGGACACTGTTACATATGAAATGCTTTTCAAGTCGTTAACAGGGCACTTGTGAAATCATCACTGTTTTTTTCATAATTGCAAAAAAAAAGTTACATTATTATGTACAGTTTATCACCTTTACAAATTAAAATATAGGGGTCAAAATAGTGTAATAGCAAACTAATCCTCTGCCTGTGATGCCGGCATCCCATTTGGACACTGGTACAAGTCCTGGCTGCTCCACTTCCATTCTAGTTCTCTGTGGCCTGGGCAAGCAACAGAGGATGACTCAAATTGTTGGACCCCTCTTCCCACATGGGAGGCCCAGAAGAAACCCAGTGATTGCCCAAGCTCTGACCATTGTGGCCATTTAGGTAATAAACCAACAGATGGAAGTTTTTCTGTTTCTACCTGTAAAATATGCCCTTCAAATAAAAATGAATAAAACTTTAAAGAAAAAAATATAAGTGCTGTAAAGCTTAGTAAGAAAATGTTTCTGATACATTAACATTTAAACACAGGTTTTCAAAACTGTAGGGACACTGGGACTTCACTTTCTATTATACATAAATGAGTAGATACAATCTATCAATTGACTTGGAGGGTAACCAAAAACCTAGAACTAAAAACAGTTGTTCAGGCATTACTAAAATCTGTACGTGCCAATCCTCACTTTTAAATAAATAAATAAATAAATACTTAATATACCACAACCAACGGAATTCCTGGATTTAGGGCCTGTTCTGTTTCCTATTCAGCTTCGTGCTAACACATGCCTTGGGAGGCAACACTTATGGCTAAAGCGCTTGGGTCCCTGTATGCCTCGTGGAAAATTCAGGTAGAGTCCTTGGCTGCTGCCTTCAGCCTGGCCCAGCCCTGGCTTTTTAGAGATGTATTCATTTGAAAGGCGGAGTGATGAGAAAAGAAAAGACAGAGAAACAGAGAAACAGAGAGGGAGGGAGGGAGGGAGGCAGGAAGGGAGATAGAGAGAGAGAGAGAGAGAGAGAGAGAAAGAAAGAAAAAGCCATCTTCCATCTACAAGTTCATTCCCCAATGGATACGGTGACCAGGGCTGGGCCAGGCCAAATTCAGGAACCCAGAGAGTCTTCTACTTGGGCCATCTTCTGCTGCCTTCCCAGACACATTAGCAGGAAGCTGGATCAGAAGTAGAACAGCCAGGACTTAACTGGTGCCTACATGGGATGCCAGTATCACAATCACTGCTTTCTATCTCTTTCCTGTATCCCTTCTTTTCAAATACACAATTGTAGGGTCCAGTGCCATGGCCTAGCGGCTAAAGTCCTTGCCTTGGGCATGCGAGGATTCCATATGGGCACCGGTTCTAATCCCAGCAGCCCCACTTCCCATCCAGCTCCCTGCTTGTGGCCTGGGAAAGCAATCAAGGACGGCCCAAAGCCTTGGGATTCTGCACCCGTGTGGGAGACCTGGAAGAAGTTCCTGGATCCTGGTTTCAGATTGTCATAGCACCGGTGATTGCGGTCACTTGGGGAGTGAATCGTCGGACGGAGGATCTTTCTCTCTCCTTTTCTCTGTATATCTGACTTTCCAGTAAAAATAAATCTTTAAAAAAAAATACACAATTGTACATTTCATTTCCTGCTACTTTAATAGTATTTGAATGATAAGTACATGTATTTTCATAGTCCATTCTAATATGTCTTTCATTCTAAGCCCTGAAAAAATGTTGGGACACAGAAAGTAGTGAAACACCATGACTGTGGTGGTTTTTAAAAGGAATTTTTTGATAAATGGAGATATCCAAGGCAGTAAACAATAATCCTGAGACATCAGGAACAGAGGTCCACGTAGCAACAGAGGAGCAGGCGTTGGATGCAGCAGTTAACAGACCCACATCCACTATCAGCGTGCCTTGGGTAAACTCCTAACTATTGCTGATGAATTTTCCTGCTAATGTGTACCCAGCAGAGGACAGCTCAAGCACATGGGAGACCTGGAATGAGTTCTAGGCTCCTGGCTATAGCCTGGCCCAACTATAGCTGTTACAGGCATTTGGGGAGTGAAACTAATGAAAGAAGCTCTTGATTTCTCTTTGTCTTTCAAACAAAATAAAAACAGAAAGTAAATAACACTAAACAGACACGTGGGACAAAGGGAGTTACCTCCTCTGCCCATGGGAAAGTGAATTCAAGAATACTCCCATGTTGTGCAGCCACCAGCACTCAGCCCTCCACCCCTGCCAAATCACAGGGAGAAGTCCAAGATCTACAGAGAAAGAACTCAAGTCCCTCCCAGAGAATTATCTTAAAACTAAACAGTGGAGGGAGTGAAAGACAGTTATCTAAGACTCAACAGGCAGCTCCAGGAGCTGAAGGGCAGGAAAGGGGCAAAGAAAGCATTTAAGTGCTAAGTAGGAAGCAAGAGAAAATTAAATACTAACAGGGGTCCTTTATTTTCTTGGGTGGGGAGCAGAATCTGAGAGGGCTTTGATCTAAATTTTCTACCACGTATTTGTTTATTTCTACAAATTCAATCTTATAAATATGTTTCAAAACTACACATGGTTATAATGTTACAATAAACAGCAAACATCTAAATTCCCAAACAATAAAGCATGGACACTCAGAGCCAATGTGCCTGCTTTCTAAACATTTAGCAAGGGTAAGAATAGCAATCTTATCCAGGGGAGAGACAGTGAAGGTATTTGGCAAATGTTGTAATAAATGCTCAGCAGAGAACAAATCAGCCTGATGCACCAACTCATACACTGTTAAGAGGGAAATATCTGAGAGCTCCTACAGGCAAAAGCCAGGTCAGCAGACTGTGCACATACCAAATACATGCATTCATTCCCTCATTCTCTTACGCACTGTGAACCCCCTCAACCATCAACAATTGTGCATTATCTGTATCCCTCCCAGCACTGCAGTAGCTGCTATGTACACCAGGTTTCCTAAAAGCTCATGGCAATACGCATTATCACAAAATTCTGCAGAGATCGCAAAAAACTTTTATATCTAAACAAATATGTTTTGAATTCCATTGTTCCCCCAAGCATTTGGAAGGCCCCTTATATACCAGGTACAGTGCTGGGCCACTCCTGCAGCAAAGCCAAAGGAACCTGCGACAAGTGCCCTATGAGCACTCACTCACACACTCTCAGTCTTCCCAATATTCTTCTGCAAACCAAACCCTTATCGAATATTTTGGCCTCAAAGCTTAGCCTGATTCTGTTACTATTTAGATCCAATTTCCCACTTCTCTAGAAATGCATGCAGATAACAGAGCAAGTCAACAGCCTCCACAAGGAGACAATCCAGAAGACAGGGCACTGGCCTGGTCTCCACAAAAGGTCAACAGATGAGAAATGCAAGGAGCCAGGAGTGGTAGGTGGTGGGCAGGACAGTAAAATCAACTCAAACAAGGATAGCATGCAATTCCTGGTTGGAATCTGTCTTAAGGTGGGGGGAAAAAACACTATAAAAACTCACTTAGGGGACAACTAAAAATTTCAGAATAATCACTGTGTTAAAATTATTATATATTACAGCAGTAATTCACTTTTAAGGTTTGGTGATGTTATTGTGGCTATGTAAGCAAATTCCCCAATTTTACGAAAGTGCATCCTGACAATTTGAGGCATGAGGCATGATGTAATTTATCTCAAAAATGATGCAGAACATAAACGAAAGTAAGAAATAAGAGGAAAGGAGGAAGAAAATAGTGCCAACTGCTGAATGTAGCTTAACTGTCTATGTAGGTTAGACAAGTCTTTCCACTTTCAGTAGGGCTAAAAACTTCCTTAAAACAATGTGTAACAACTATTACACACAGTGCTCTTGCAGATTCCAATCACAAGTCCAGAGGAACAAATGCACACACACAAAAAGACCTGTTCGTACCCCAGCCCCTCCCCTTACCTCAATCAGAGCCCCCTTCTCCCTGTCCTCGGATTGTTTCGCACTGTCCAATTCATCATGCATCTCCGAGAGCTGGTCCTGGAGATCCCGGATCTCTGTCTGGTGCTGTTCCCGTTCCATCTTCACCTGAAACAGCCTGGCAGGGAAGCAAGTGTGTCAGAGACGCTCCTAGGCCCTACTCATTCCCCTCCTGTCCAATTTCAGACCTCCAGAGGCTCTCACCAAGTCATCTAAACAAAGCCGCCAGGAGCCTGTTCATTCTCTGCACTGCACAGAACAAGCCAACACCAACAGGGAAAAGCACTGGTAAGAACTCGGGTTCTGGTCAAACTCACCCAACAAGTGAGCACTCAGATCAGTGAATTGGGGAAGGCTACACAGAGACAAGTTTCTCTGCAAAAGAAGACCTATGGTACCAGAATGTGGACACAGATGACAAAAATAACTGCATTGAGTTTTTCCCCCTCTAAAGCCACTCCACCTTACACTATAGTGGGAGAGTCAATTAATGGTGGTAGAGGCCAATTTAGTTCATGGTTGCTTTGGTAAATGAAATTTTACTGGAACACATCATGTGCATGCATGTATATATCCCTTAGTTCTTTTCACAACAAAATGTCACAGTTGAATGGATATGGCAAGGACTATATGGTCTGCAAACTTCAAAATCATCATCATCATCTGACAAGACAAAGTTGGCCAACCTCTGCTCTAACCCACACTCATAATCATGGCACCTACTTATTTTGCCAAGTCTTTATTATGCATTAAGTTTCCTGATTTTTTTTTTCTAGCTTCTGAATTTACAGTCCACATTTACTTTAAAAGCAAAAAAAAACCACCATCAGAATTATAAAGGCAATCAAATCTATATAATCTAATCTAATAAATTAGATAATGTCCTCATTTTCTTGAATTTCCTTCTAAACTTCATTTCTACTTAATCTTTCACTTAAGGCTTCTTTCATGTTCACAGAATTTTATCGTACATTTTAAGATCTTGATTTTATTTTATTTTTTAATGTATTCATTTAAGAGGCAGAGAGAACAAGCTCCCATCTACTGGTTCACTCCTCCAAATGCCTACAGTGGCCAAGGCCAACTGCAGCCAGAACCAGGAGTCTGAAACTCAATGTAGGTCTCCTACAAAGGTGAAAGAAGCCCAATTACTTGAACCAACACCACTACCTCCCAGGGTCTGTGTTGGTGAGAAGCAAGAGTTGTGGGTTTGAGCAGGGTATCACACCCAGGTATTCTGACGTGGGAATGTTAAGCACCTACTTGCCAAGACTAGCTCTGAGATCTTTTAGCAGCAGATCTTAATACAACATAACTGCAGAGCCATGCCAGACTTGACTCTCCTTCTCTAGGTTTAAGATACATGCAATAGGGCCCGCACTGTCAACATGCTAATCCTGCACCTTCAAGCATCAGCATCTCATTTGGGCACAGGTTGGCTGTTCTAATTCTGATCCAGCTCCCTGCATGTAGTTTGGGAAGGCAGTGGAAGATAGGTCAAGTCCTTGGGCCCCTGAACCCCTGTGGAAGACCTGAAAGAAGTTCTAAAGTTCACAAGCCTGAATAACGTAGAGGCGTTGCAACACATGTTTTTCAGAGCGTCTGTTTTTCTGGGTCCAGCTCTTGTACACAGCAGTCTCCCCAGACACTTCCACTCACTGTTACCTGCTCCGAGATTCATCTTGCGAGCAAAAACATTACAAAACATATTTCCAGATATACAAAGAATGTTCACAATCATGAACTTTCCTGCTGTACCAGCCTTCACGTACCACCAGCTCTATAATTTTGCAAGGATGAGAGGCGGGGAAAAGGCAGAGTCAGCTGCCTCTCTGAGTATGTGGAAGGCTCTGGCAGCACCCAGTCACAGAAGCTAGAAGATTATCAGGTGCTTTGCCCGACACTTACTCCTCCAGGTTCTTCCGGAGCTCCCCTTCGCTTTCTTCCAGTCGCTGTTGCAGGACAGAATTCTCCTTCACCTTACCGTCGTGTTGGCTCCGCAACTCCTCTAACTCCACTCTCATCCGCTCTCTCTCCTCTTTGATGTTCTCTTGGTTCTAACATAAAGTAGAGTGACTTTTCATGCACCTGTACCACACATTAACATAATCCCACAGAAACCTACTGCTAAATGTTAATACATTTCATCTTTGAGTTTTCTTTATTAAAAATAATCATTGCTTCAAATATACAGTTTTGTGAAACTTTGATTTACACAAAGGTATCAACCAGGGGATAATAATGTTATGTTGCTACAATTTTAAAGATCTGTGATTATTTTACAATTTATTGTACAGGAAAAGACATAATGAAACTACATAATTAAAGAGTTCATAGTGAACATACTAAATATTTATATTGAATGAATCTAATAGTTCTAAAGGAAGGACACCACCAAGATTAAACCTTGTTGTGTCATTCCTATTACTTAGTTCAGATGTTTTACATACTACACATTCATTAAATTTCTGACTGGCCCACTTGAGTCTGACAGCGTATACTTTATTCAGACAGCAGCAGGCAAACACACAGGAATTTACTCTGTGATGAGAGGAATGAATGCTTCTTTAGAGAGAAAAAAAAAACTGATTTTCACTCCCTTGGGTATCCCAATGTGCTTAAAATATTCCTTATCAATGTGCTTAAAATATTCCTTATCAACCAAGGTGGAAATGAATAAAACATAAAAGAAAAGCCAGGTACCTTGATTTCCAGCTGAAGCTGTCTCTGAAGCTCAGCCACTTCCAAGGTCAGCTTGTTTCTCTGTTCCAACAGATCTTTGACTTCAGATGAGGAATTAGAGGCCTAGAAACATTTGCAAAGATATCCTATCATAAATCTTCAAGATGCTTTCATTTCTTCACCCGAAATACAAACAGATGAAGTATAAACTAAATATCTTAAGATCTAAGTTGAATGTCAATCCCTATAGAGACCCTTCCCCCAATTTTGCAGGCAATATTAATCATGCTGACCCATTTGGAACTCCAGCAAATTTTATTTTACAATACCTTCCTCTAACACAGGAATTACCTCACCAGTTATCTCAACATCAGCTCAATATAACAAAAGCTTGAATAATGATGAAGTTGTTGAACTATGCTGTATCCTAAACTTTGAAATCTTAAAACTTGGGCCCAGTGCAGTAACATAGTGGCTAAAGTCCTCATCTTGCATCTACCAGGATCCCATGTTGCCCCTGCTTCCCATCCAGCTCCCTGCTTGTGGCCTGGGAAAGCAGTGGAGGATGGCCCAAAGCTTTGGCACTCTGCACCCACATGGGAGACCCAGAAGGGGCTTCAGATTGGCTCAGTTCTGGCTGTTGCAGCTCCTTGGGGAGAACCAATGGACAGAAGGGCTTCCTCTGTCTCTCCTTCTCTCTGTATATCTGCCTTTCCAATAAAAATAATAAAGAAATCGTTTTTAAGAATCTTTATATCAATAAATGACTATTTGAATTCTGGTTCTTTCATAGTAGAGTAACTGATACCAGAGTTATCACAAAAAAAAAAAAAAACACTATGAAGAGTAACATACCTAAACAATCATTTGCAGGCTTAAAAAAAAACACAACACAGGGCTATGAATTTTACAGGGAAAATTACATAGGTTAACTTGAATTCACCTGGTTCTTCCTGACTCCATTTTCAAACCACTGCACAGTAAAGTTTTAAAAGCTCAAATAATGCCATCATAAAACTGCAATTAAAACCATGTGATACAATGACACATCCATCAGACTGGCCAATATCCAAAATACTGAAAATACCAAATGTTGGCAGGACTATAGAACAATAGGAACTTTATTGTTTGGGGGGATGCAAACTGGGACAGCCACTTTGGAGGTTTGGTAGTTTCTCACAAAGCCAACCATGTTCCTGCTACACCACCCAGCAGTTACACTCCGTAGTGTATACCCAAGTGAAAAAAAAAAAAAAAAAAAAGACTACAGGGACGTTTATAGCATTGAATTTGTAATTGACAAGACTTGGAGGTAACTACAATGTCCTTAGAAGGTAAATGGACAAATTGTGGTACATCAGAAAATAGAATATTACGAAGTAAAAGAAGCTAAGGTGAAAAGGCTATATACTCATGATTCCAAACGCACGCTGCAATGGAAAAGGCAAAATGATAAAAATAAGAAAAAAAATAGATTGCTAATTGCTAGAATTTAAGGTCAAGAGGACAAATAAACCACACAATGAGGATATTTAGGGCAGTGAAACTGCTAGGTGTGACTCCACAATGGTGAGTATATCATTAAATGGTCACCATTCATGACCTATACAACACCAACAGTGAACCCTAATGTAAACCACAGGCTTGGGTGACAATGACTGGGTCAGGGAAGAGCCACTGATTGTCACAACGTTACACCATCCTGCAGGATGCTAATACAGGTGGAAGGCACGTGTGGGAACAGGACAGCTGAGGAGCTTTCTATGTATTCCAATTTTGCTTTAAAAAAATAAATCCCACTAATTTAATGGCAAAGAGGGTCCAAAATAGACAGTGACCAAATCCCTGTTGGAGGAAGGAAAGTAGACATGCAGGAATTTCAGGGTATAATGCCAAAGACCAGACAGCTTTATAGAAAAAGATGCAAAATCCTTGGGGGGAGGGGGAGCAAGAATTCTTGTATTCATTGATGATTCCTAAACTACATATGAGTCGGCTAAGAATCTAAGAGGCCAACAAAGACATATTTTCAAAAGGCAAAGAATCCAACAAAAGAATCACAGCTTACACATACTCAGGAGATAGTAGGGTTCCAGCATTGTCAAAAGAGTGAAACCTCCACAGACCACCCTGGAATTCATGTGACATTCAAGAAAGGAATGCAGGCCCTCCCACTTAGTAAAGGCAAAAACATACAAAACACAACACTAACAATGCCTCAAGCACCAAGTATTCAGAATCATGGAAATCTGCAAGTAATTTAATTGACTGTCAGAACAATACACACCATTCAATAAGTGACATCTCAACCTAGAACATGCATTACTTGTTATCCACAATCTATAGTACACAATGTTTTAGCAGGCAAAACTGACCAATAATCAATGCATAAAATAAACAGTAAAAACAGAGATGACTCAAACACTGCAGTCAGCAGATAAGATTTTAAAGAAACTATAAACAAAATATTTTTAATTTATTGTTTATTTGAAAGGCAGAGTCACACAGAGACAGAGGTGCAGAGACAAGGAATGAGAAATCTTCCATCTGCCTTCATTCCTGCAATGACCAAAATAGCCAGGGCTGGCCTAAGCCAATGTGAGGAGTTACAGGCTTCCTTTGGGTTTCCCATGTAGATGTACACAGGTGCAGGGGCCCAAGTCTCTGCTGTTTTTCCAGGTGCATTAGTAGGGAGCTGAACCAAAAGTGAAGCAGCCAGGACTTGAACCCGTGCCCAAGTGGGATGTCAATGCCATAGGAAGCAGTAATACCCACTAGGCCAAAGTATCAGCCCCATGGTCTTTCTCAGAGATACTGGCAAGAGAAACTTGATCAGAAGTGGAGCAGCCAGAACTGAAACTGGCACCCATGTGAGATGCCCAGCATACAGGTGGCAAGTTAACTAGCCATGCCATGATGCCAGCTCTAATATTTTTAGAAAAAATTAGACAATGTGAATAAAAAGAGGATTATTGTTAGATTCAATAAACATAAAACAGTATTATAGAATAGCAAACACAATTATCTGAAATCTAAGAACTCTGTTGGAAGAACAAGAAACTGCTCCTTTCAATGACATTTCAAAGGAATCAAAGATTAATATAGCTTTTTAAAAAACAAAATTAATGAATTTGAAAGTATCTAGAATATCTAATACATCAAAGCCATAACCACATGCAGAATGGAGTATAAAAAACAAGAGGCAAATCACAAAGACTTCTCAGATACAAGTGATTGGAATCTGAGAAGAGCTTAGAGAGAATGGGAAAGGAGTTACTCTAAGAAATCAACAACCACAAATTGGCCAATCTGTTGAACATTGACAACCAGGAACTCAGCAAGCCCTGCAATAAATACAAGGAAAACCTCAATTAGGCACATGATACTCAAACTTCTAAAGTTTGAAAAGAAAGATACCAAATTAGCAAAGATAACACAAGAAGCGCCCCTCCCCGCCAAAAAAAACTGGTAGCACTTTCAGGAGACCAACACTAAGTACGACGTCTACCAAAAGACATGCTAATAATGTCTTTAAAGTTCTCAAACAAAGTACTACTTCCCAAGCCAGGGTACCTCCAAGCAAAAAGCAGGGATGAAAGACATTCTCAAACAATGCCAGAATCCATAGGGAACACAGAAGTACTTCAAGATCTAACAGAAAAGGCAGGCAAGCTGGAAGAAAACGCAGGTATAAAGAAAATAACAAAGCAATGCTAGGTGGAGGGACTAAATCCAAATGGAAGTTGCACGTAGAAACATGGCCATAAGAAGTTGCAGTCACAAATAACAATGAAAGACTCTCACGTTCATGAACCTGAGCATCAATAATGACAAGATGTCAGTTTCACTAAATTTAGCCACCTATTTACTGTCATCCCAATCAAAATTCCTGGGGGCATTTTTCGTCTTGTTCTTGATGAAAGTCAACAACCTAATTTTCTATATGGAAAAGTTAAAGACCTAAAAGAGCCAAGACCATCTTAAAGAAGAGTTGAAAGACATTCATGACCAAATTTCAAGACTTACTACCAAATTTGAGGCTTTCAACCTTACAGTATTAGTGCAAATAAAGAGGAGTAGATAAATGTAATAAAAGAGAAAGTCTGAGAGTTAGAGAATAGAATAGCTGACCTTGGCAGTGAATGGCTGGCACTTTAACATCATTTGGTAGCATTTAAGAACCAAACATATGCCTAATTTAAGAGTTAACAACTTTATTCCTAGGTATATAAACTCAAGACAAATTAATGTAGTTCACGAACATTAGTATTTGGCTTTATTCCTAATAGCCAAAAATTGGAAGTGTCCATTAGCTGTATCTACATTGGTACTTTCATACAAAGAAAAAAAAAAGCTAGGATTGACATGGTGGCTTAATAGGTTACACTACCACTTGCAGCACTGGCCTCCCATATGGGTGCTGGTTCGAATCCAAGCTCCTCAAGTTTCAATCCCGCTCCTTGATAATGCTCCCAGAAAAGTAGCAGCAGATGGCCCAAGTGCTTGGGTCCCTGTATCCATGTATGAAACCCAAAACAGCTTCTGGCTCCTGGTTTTAGCCTGGCCCAGCCCCAAATGTTGCAGCCACCTGGAGAGTGAACCAGCAGATAGAAGACCTTTCTCCTTATGTCCCACCCGCTCTACAGAACTCCATATTTGAAATGAGCCTTTAGGGCCCAGTGGCATGGCCTAGCGGCTAAAGTCCTCGCCTTGAACGTACCAGGATCCCATTTGGATGCCGGTTCTAATCCTGGCAGCTCCACTTCCCATCCAGCTCCCTGCTTGTGGCCTGAGAAAGTAGTCAAGGACGGCCCAAAGCTTTGGGACCCTATACCCGTGTGGGACACTCGGAAGAAGTTCCTGGCTCCTGGCTTTGGATCAGCATAGCATCGGCCACTGTGCTCATTTGGGGGAGTGAATCATCGGATGGAAGATCTTCCTCTCTGTCTCTCCTCCTCTCTGTATATCTGACTTTCCAATAAATAAATAAATCTTTAAAAAAAAAAAAAGAACCTTTAAAATAGATCATTAAAATTTTAAATAGCTATTTACACATCAGTAACGAAATTTGTTTATTAAAATTGGGAAAATGAAGCTAGACATTCAAAAGATATTTTTAGTAT